CCCTTCATTCTGCGGTGTATGAAGTTAACCCTTCCACACACCAGCGCCTTCGGACGGCTTCGTGCCCTCCATCGACCGACCGGTTCGCGTCATTTTCGCAATACGCTCCGAGTGTCCCGTCGGATCACGACACCGCCGTTTGGGCCGTGTCTTCAGAATACATCCCGTCGTCCTCCTCCTCGATCCCAGAGCAAGGTCTGGATTTGGTTGATGGTGTTGTCACCATCGATGATGACTCTTTCACCACCAGAATCCTCCTCCACAGCGGTTCGGCCTCTGTCAGTTTGGGTGTATCGCTTTTTTGGATACGGGTTCTCCACAGTCTTTTATTAGTGCTTCTGCATGGGAATCCATGAAAGCGGCTTCGGCTGCTTCGTCGTGGTCTGAAAAACACACCCAACCTCGCTGTTGGGGTGGTTTTGGGAAATCTGCCTCGCTCAAAACTTCGACCATTGTCCGTTTGAGTGTTCAGTTTCTCCGTAAGAACCTTCCTACTTCCTCTCTTGCTGTTTGGGCTTGTTCCTGACGGCGTCATGCATTATGACGTGCTCCTCGGCAGAGGTAGTTGGATGCGGTTTAGTGACCGTTCTTACCGCACTTTGCGTGCGAAACTTCCTGGTGACCGTGTTTTTGGTGAGCTTTCTTTAGCCCAACATGACACTTGTGGTGCCACTACATTTGCTCACGATCTGTCCGCAACAGATGGAAGTTACCAACTTCGCTATGCAGGCAAACATCCTTGACATCTCGTTCTGGAAGGCGACCCGTAGGTGTTTGTCCTTCCTCAACCGCTCGAGGTCGATACGGATCCGGCTGCTTCCGCTGTTCCCCCGCACTCGTCGGTTGGGTGCGACACGGGGGGGGTACCCGTCGTGTGCAATTGAACCTTGCCCCTCTAGTCGGGTCTCCTGAAGTCCTATCACATCACAGCCGGTCGTGGAACAACTCTGCATGACCGTCATCACGTTGTGACCGAAAGGGGTTCCTACCGCTGTAGGCGAGCTTGCGTACGTTGAACGTGCCGAAGGATAGGTCGCCCTCTCGTGCCTTCTTCTTCGCATCTGCCTTGACGGCCGCTGCGGTCTCGTGTCTCTCTCGGTCCACCTCGCGTTGCGGGTGTCCTTTCTTCCGTATTTTCCGAGCGGCGAGTTTCCTCGCATCAATCCATCTCTGCAGAGCTCGGTTCTCGCCTGTGGTGTTTTGACGAGGAGGGTGCAGCACTCCCTCCCCGCGGTGCCCGCGGTTGTCTCCCTTCTCCCGCGAGCGGTGCTTACTGACGTGGTGTTTACGAATCTCTCTACTCCTCCAGCTTCGTGGGTCACGCTTTCCTCGATGGTGGTTGCCAGGTGCAGTTTGCCGCTTTGCATTACTGCCGCGGGAACAGTAGTGTCCATACACACCTCTCGCCACTACCACCGTCTGTGCATCCTCACTGCCACGCTGAGCCAGCGCGGCGGTGAGTTGCACCTTGGGACACCACCCGCCAACTATCTGTTGTGGCCTGGTTTGCCCGCGTAGGACTCACTAGGTCGATTTCGGCCCCGGCCGGGGAGCAGGCCGAGGAGGTGTTGGGTGTTGTGTTCCCTCCCCAAACCCCACCCTCATACGCTCCGAACGCGACACAGCACTGCAGGAGCAGCCGGCCACATCAGTGGTATATGTACTTGCTATCTCCGTACTGGTGCGATTTCCTGTGCTGGAGTTTGTGTTTCCTTTGCTGGAATTGAGGGAGCGACTCGTGTGCGCGCGCACACATGCACGCTGTGTTTGAACTGCTGTATACTCAAGAGACAGCCACTCCGAACCAGATTGTCGATCCTTGGCAACGAGTGTGCAGCGAGTGCACAACATATACGCAAGATTCGATATAGACTAATAGCAGCGGAGTAGGGTAGGAACATAAAGCTATTTTCGGCGTTCGTAGGGGATACAAGTCTTGCTTGGCGAAGAAGATGAGACTTTCTTGCATTGGTTCCGACGTGGAAAAAATACACGTCACATGTGGCATCATGTTTAAAATTTAGAAGCAGCCACGAGTTTTTTGGGCGTGCGAAGCCGCTGCATCCCCCAGTTGATACAGTCTACTTGCAAAGAATGTCACATGTCGCCTTTAGATGGAACCAGCAGGACAAAGGTGCCCACACAATTGTTAGCGCAAAGGAGTCCTCGAGTAGTATTTTCTCGCATCACAACGGCAAATAGACGGACTATTATGATGGGCGCGGATTCGCTGCTGCGTCCCACAGGAGGAGAAGAAGTCTACCCGTGGCAGATCATGTTGCATCATGTTTGATGGGGTTACGCGCAGTGCTAGTTATACTGCATCCCGCTGTAGCCGCAGTAGATGCAGTCTACCCGGAAGAATGTCGCAACAACTACTGCGAAGCACCGCGCACCCTGTGCAGTTGATACTCTGCGCAATAGCCATTCCGTGCGCTGCAAGACGGCCGGGTTAGTGGCGAGACCTATGCTCCCTCCTCTTCTCAAAACGCGCATGTATCTGGTGTAAAAAATGGAGTCGAAGCAAGTCCCCACTATGACATTCAAAAGCGCTCCCACCCTTGTCCTCTACAGGTCTGCAGGATGAAGTGTGGAAATTGAATGGGAGCGTGCGTTCGGTCGGCGAAAGGTTGGACGCCTGCTGGAAGACCCTCAACCAGGAGCCCTTGGTCAGGATCTTCAAGGATAAGACGTCCGAAAATTGCAAGGAGCGCTACGACAAGATCGTTGACGACCAGAGCAAGAGCGATGGTAAAGCCCAGCGGGACTCCGGAGCCGGCACTGCTGAGAGTGGTTCGGAGGACGAGGGAGAGAAGAATACCAAGATCCAGCTGGTGAGGGGTCCAGAGCCATTAAGCTATCTCTACCTTTTGTGACGGGCGCAAGCCCGCGTGTACACGATCATGGCACAGTCTAAACAAGACGGGCACGAATGTCTGCACATGGAGAATCCACAGAGTATCGTGAAACACCTGCGCTGCCCCGACCGAAAAATGCCTGCCGTCGTCGCCAACGTTACACTTGAAGATAAGAGGGGTACGCACAGGGTTAGCTGTAAGTCCAACTTACATGCGCATGACAAAAGGAAGACAGAAGTAGATGGANCCTGAGTGTACACGATCATGGCACAGTCGAAACAAGACGGGCACGAAGAGCTGCACATGGAGAATCCACAATCCATAGAGTATCGTGAAACACCTGCGCTGTCCCGACCGAAGAAAATGCCTGCCGTCCTCACCAACGTTACACTTGCAGATAAGAGGGGTACGCACAGGGCTAGCCGTAAGCAACTGAAAATGCGCAGCATGACAAAAGAAAGACAGAAGTAGATAGACAGCACAAAAGCCCGAGTGCTACACGCCAGGCGACGCAAAACGTGCAGAGAGTTAGCTTGCTGAGACGGTCCTTCACCCACAAAATCAAACCAGCGTCGAAGTTTGCACTCCCACTCTGTATTGTTTGGGGGCGTGACGTAGCAGTGTTGACACGGATGTACAAAACAGACGATGCATATAGCTATCGCCGACGCTGGTAATACAACTTGTAAGTCGTACAGCTGACGACCTGCTGCGCCGCTGTTGCTTCTTGTCCGCGATGTGCTGCACAGAAAAAAGTTCTGACAGCGATAGTGGACGCGAAGGCTGCAGCGAGGCAGGACTCGGAAGAGACCAAGCAAAAGAAAGCCGATGAGGCGGCCCCGCACTCCGCGACGGGGACGTGGGCCATCAACCAGGGCAACGCCCGATGCGGCCCGGGCGCGAAGGCTACATCATTCGAAGAAGCTGTTGCCGCCGACAACATCGCGTTGGGTTCCCGCTCCGGTGCAGCGGCCGGTGGCCGTGCCAGCGGTCGGGTGAGTCCGGCCAGCAGCATCGGGGGGCCCGCGTCGGAGGCTTCGGCGGGTGGCGCTGCCAGCGGTCAATCGAGCCCGACCATGAGTACGGGTGGGATAGACGACGACTTAACGCCCGCGGGGAGCGGGCCATCGAGAAAGGTTCCGCCGCTTGGCGAATTGGTGAAGCACATGGGGTCGCTGAGCATTCCGACGCTTGCGCAAAGTGCCGGGGTCACCACGGAGGAGGCGGACTACCGTAAGGTTGCGGGTTAGCGCACGGTCCGGGGTTTCCGCACGGTCCGGAGTCGTCGCACAGGGGCGCGATGAAAATTAAATGGCATAAATATTTAATTCGATTTACGCACAGGGTCCGACGTTACCGCACAGGGTGCGATGACTCGCAACCTACAGTAGGGAAGTAGTGGAGTGCGAACGATTTTGGGGCAACTTCACCCGTGCAATTATGCCAGTGCTGGCCATGGCAACTTGCACCCCTGCAACCATGCCAGTGCTGGCCATCGCAACTTTTACCTCTGCAACCATGCCATTGCTGGCCAATGGCAACTTTCACCCCTGCAACCATGCCAGTGCTGGCATGTACCTCTGCTGTATGAGTAGGTAGGTCATCGTCGCATAGTGTGAAGGAAATGAAACACATGGAAATTTCCATGGGATCGGTAAACTTGAGCATTGTCCATTCAACCAAAACACCAGAAGAAAAGGAGCAGCCATCAGCCAAAACAACTAACAGCAGTAAGTACCATGGAACAGCACCATGGAACAGCAGCACTATTGTACCTTGAGTAATTCTATTTACGACACCGGTGTCGTAATTCTTATTTACGACACCGCCAATATCTCAGCCCACAGAGCTCTGATTGGCGCCAAACCAATTGCGTTGGGTAGATATGACTCGTGGCTATCACCCAAGCGTTTTGGGGGCGAAATCCGGTCAGTGGTTGCAGAGATATGCTCAAAAAACGGGATGATGCTGCTGTGCCTCTTTTCTGAGTATATCTCTGCGTTTTCTCGATGCTTTCGAAATTTGTCATTATTATTTTGCGTACCCCCTTTGCTCGCCAAGGGGGAGGGGAAAAGAGCGGAGACCAGGCAGGGCAACACCACACACGCCCCCGGTCTACTCCTTACGATCAGTATAAACATCAGCCACCCAACAGAGACACATAAACTCTGTCTGCCCCCCACACCGGCTTGTTCATACTGAAACCACGAGAGA